TCACTCCTGAACTAACAGGAAAGAAGCTCGACAGCCCCCCCCCCCCACCCACACTTTACAGTACTTTTAGTACCAGTATACAGGCTTCCTATTCGTCAAATAATTCTTGTTGGAATTCTCAGTCTCAGGATCCAGAGTGATTCTCGATGCACCATATCGAACACCTTGAAGTCGATGTAGGCTGCAAGCAGCCCACGCCCGAACTCACGACGGCGCTCTACAATGACTCGAAGTGCAAGGATACGATTTATTGTGAATTTAGCAGGAGTGAATCCAGATTGCTCCAGCCTCTGATGCCTCAGTAGGTGGTCTCTGATACGTCTCAGAGGGATGTGGGCGAGAACCATGCCTAGTATACTGAGCAGTGTGATGCCTCAGTGATTGCGGCAGTCAAATCGGTCCCCCTTCCCCTTCCAGAGAGAGATGACCACAACCCCCCTAACAGGCCAGGGGAACTGTACTGGATCGCCAGATGGTGGCCTGGACAGTTTGCAACCCACGCGCCATAGGTCCACCACCAGCCTTTAACAGTTCATCGAGGATGCGGCAAATACCCGCTGCTTTGCCATTCCAACTTGGAGATTGCACCTCTAACTTCAGTTAGGGAGGGTGGATCCTCACTGATGGGTGGGTCCGGCAACGGAATCATGGCAACACCCGCATCCAAGTTAACTGTAGGTGAATCAACCTGGTGCAACTACTAAAAAAGCCCAACGCTCCTGCACTGCAGGTTCTGAGACAATCTGGCCTCTTACCATGCGAACTGCTGTCACCTGTGAAGGGGGCTTGGAGTTCAGCTTTCTCGGGGCTTGGTATGCAGGGCGAAGGTCATTTACTAAGAAATGGCCTTCGACCTCCTCAGCAAGACTCCTAATAAACAAGCATATGTGGCTTCCAGTGTCTCCTGTGAGATATGATTCTGTATTGTCCTCAGGCGTTCAGCAATCGACTCTTGGGCTGCATCGAGCTTTTTGTGCTTGAAGGTGTCCCACAGAAGTACAGGGTCCATCAGATTGTCGAGTGCTGTGAAACGACCAGAGATTGCCTCAGCAAACCCCCAAGCACACTCTTCCTCCTTCAGCCTGTCCAGATGAAACACGCTAGGGTGATCGTTGGACCGCTGGGGAGTTTTGAAGTGGAGCTTAAGGATAGCCACAACCAATCTATGGTCAGTACTACAGAACTCGGCACTCCTATACACCCTGCAGTTCTGGAGGATCCTCCAACAAGTGCTAACGACTAAATGGTCGATCTCCTTGGCAATATTACCTGTATCGCTGTACCATGTCCAACGATATGGGTCTGGGTGCTGGTACCAGGAGCCAAAAATCCTCAATTTCTGAGACCTAGCAAAGTCCCGGAAAAGGAGGGAATTCTCGCTGCCGGTATCAGCTCCTGAACCATGGGGACTGACAGACATCTCATAGCTAGCTCGATCACAGCCAGATACCGTATAGAAGTCACCCAGGACAATACGAATATCCTGCCGGGGACAGCTGTCTGCCACAGATGCAAGTTTGGCATAGAACATCTCTTTCACATCGAGTTTACAAACATCGGTAGGAGCGTACACAGCAATAAGAGACATGAAACCACATATTAGCTTCAGTCTCAATACCATCATACGCTCATCGACTGGAGTAACCTCTACCTCCGAGGGCTGGAGCCTGCTGGAGACAGCTATGGCTACTCCCTGGAGTTGGTGGCCGTCACTGCAGCCTGACTAGTAGTAGGTGTAACCACCTTCTCACTTCTGAGAGAGCAGCCACCCCAAGTCTCAGCCTCCCCAATTCCCTCGATAGCAGAGGCAACCGATCATCTTGACGCAAAGTTGTTCCAAGCCTCCACCCTGACTTCCCGCCTGAGGTTCACCCTTGGGCAGACACCACCTCTATCATCCCCGCCGATACTGCCCCACATAAAAGGGGGCAACCTAGGGAACCTGTAAGGTTCCCTAGGGCTTTGCCTCACAAGCTTCATTCTAGGCTGGTAGCTGCAAGAACGCAGGCGGGACGAGTAGTTCTCGTTCCCATCCTGCGTCCCGGCAGCCGCCCTCCCCGCGAGGCCAGCAACCCACCTCTCTTGCCGGGTAGGAGGGCATTTCCCCTCCCCTCGACATTATCAGATACATACGAGTTGCCGATGGGTTATCTCTGGGGGGAGGAGGACTAGCAAAGCCCACCTCCCACGAGCCTTCCATTTACCCCAAGGGGCTTAGGGGCAGGAATTAGTACAGGGCCAGGGCGTGTCCACACGCCGGTGGGCGATGACCCTGTACCTCTGGGGCCTCCTGCTGCTCCGAGATCCCCTACAGTTCAGCCTAGGACCGCAAGGTACCCAGTTTCCATAGGTGGCCACGGGGAGGAACTGCAAATGTCTCGATGTTGGAGAGGCTATGCACTGGCAAGGGAGTCTTATGCAGAGCTGCTCCCTTTTTCGCACTAGGCTAGCCAGCGGTGGCAGCTGCAAGCGAGAAGGCATGCAAGCACTTAACATTATC